TAGTTATGCTCACGTGTTTATCTTAGCTTTTTTTTCCTTTTCTTCGTAAAAATGGGAAAAAAATCTGCTGTCACCAAGTTCACGAGTCATTGCAACCACCACTATAATTTCTAAAAGATATATATATATATATATATATATATATATATATATATATATATATATATATATATATTTATTTATATTTATGTACATGTATACACCGAGAAAACCAAGCTTAAAGTACCTCAACCAATGAGCCAACCTGATGGAGTGAAATCCCTGGTAACTCTGGCTGTGTATGTACAGTATATTCATGGCTTGACCACCAGGGATTAAAAGGTAAAATAATGGTATGAACTGGTATGAACTGGTTTCCCTATTAGTCGTTTCTCTATCATGTGTCTTTAAGTTTTCTAACAAAGCTTGCACCACATGCAAGCTAAAGCTTATTTAACAGGGATCACAATAGTTTGAATTTCAATTAGCCCCGCCCCATCTAAGACTTGTTTCTTCTTATAACCTCTGACCTTAACAGGTGAAAATAATACTGACAGAGAAACAGTTTGAATGACAAAATAAAAGCTGTTTCCCAGTGTGTGTGTATGTGTGTGTGTGTGTGTGCGTTTTAGCGTGTTTCTGTGTGTTTGTTTGCTTGTGTCTGCTAATATGTCTATTTGCCCGCGTGTATGTGAAATAATATCACCATAAGTGCCTCCAGTGCCTATCACAACCATCCTCCAACCGATAAAAAATTAAAATGCTACATAAATTCTCTTGAAAGCAACAGAAAGAAAAATAATCAAACAGAAAAGTGAAAAAGAAATACTCCAGTAATAAATTGTTTCGAACAAAATAAAAAGGTTCATGAAATGTGGTAGGAAAAAAACTGAACGGATGAAAAGTAAGTTTGACTAACAGTTTTGTGTACTTAAAAAAAAGTGGATCTCCCGCTCATAATCCAGCTGTCAAGTCATCCCCAACGGGCCGGGGGAGCATAAGTCCAAGATCCACTTAACCAATAGGCAGTGAGAGGGCTCCTCTCTTGTATGCATACTCATATATCTCTTTTTTAGTTTTTCTCAATTTTGTCCAGAACAACCGGACAGTTAAATTGTACAAGGTTTTGGGGGTTGGTTTTGTGTTTTTTTTTTCATACAGGCACTTCATGGGCTGCCTATACTGGGTGGGGCCCTCACACCCGGTGCGCCCTTAGGCTCATCCCCTCCAGGAAGACCTCGTCGTGGGCCAGTAGCGGCTGGCTGTGGGTGCCAGGAACGCCGGGGTTAGGATAGCGAAGCGGTGCATTCTGGGTCGTCGGGTCCTCCCTGGCCCCGGCTGTCCCTGGGATCCTCGAGTTAAAGTTCAGATAGATCTAAAAAAAAGCAAAAGCAAAATGAAGTTAAGTTGCAGGACAGGGAATATTTGTTGTTCATTAAAGTTGTGCAGTGTGTGTGTGGTTGATTGTTGGTTCAAGCAGCCTCACCTGGCCTGGCTGAGTCACACTGATTAGCCTCTGGGGATGGGTGAGGCTGTCAAGACTCTCCACACAGGATAAACCAGCTATCACCCACACACACTCAGTGGGTGATGGCTGGTTTATCCTGTGTGCCATGATTGCTCATGCACCACAGGTGTACTGCCTCACAGCCCCAAAGTCTAATTAGTCTGGCTATGCTGCTTAAACATCAACCACACTCACTCAACAATAGTTTTTATAATATTTTATATATTATCGGTATATATATATATATTTACTTATATTTAAATTTATTTTATATACATTTTCCTTCTGAATGTGTTTTACAGGTACTCAAACCGAGAGCTGGCCAGTCACTGTGAGAACAGAGAGGTTGTTTACGTCTTTTAAACAGGCTTTTAACCGAGTCATTAAAATAGTGTCTTTTACCTCCAGTTACTAAAGTCAGTAAGGAGCGGGTTGGGGGATGGGCATCTCATCAATTATTCGACAGGGTTTAAGAAGGACCTGTACGTTTTTTACTGGACCTCCAGAGGTGGACCTACTGGTTTGAGATCCACCTACTGGTTTTAATGGACCTACATGCTTTGAGGTGGACCTACTGGTTTGAGATAGACCTACTGGTTTGAGATAGGACTCCTGATTTGAGATAGTCCTACTGGTTTGAGATATAACTACTGGTTTGAGATAGGACTCCTGATTTGAGATAGTCCTACTGGTTTGAGATATAACTACTGGTTTGAGATAGGACTACTGGTTTGAGGTAGGACTACTGGTTTGAGATAGTTCAACTGGTTTGAGAGAGAACTGCTGGTCTGAGGTGGACCTACGTGTTTTGTGGTGTCTGACAGCTGCTGCTCGATTCTCTCCACCACCTTCCGGAAGGGGGGTCTCTGACAGGGGTCTGCATCCCAGCAGGACCTCATGATCTGGTACCTGGGAATAAAACAGAGATTATAATCTGAAATCATGAATTTATAATCTGATACCGGAAATAAAACAGACAGGGTCTGAGATTATATCATTAAATGATAATATTATAATATTACGGTATAATAACCAGTAGGATCTGGAATTCTAATCTGGTAGTGGAAATACTGGTCCGAGATGATAATCTGGTACATGAACAGACACAAAAGGGTCCGAGATGATAATCTGGTATGTGAACAGACACAAAAGGGTCCGAGATGATAATCTGGTATGTGAATAAACATAAAAGGGTCCGAGATGATAATCTGGTATGTGAATAAACACAAAAGGGTCCGAGATGATAATCTGGTACGTGAATAAACACGGTATGTTCCTCAGGTTAAAACAGTGACCGGCAGGAGTGTCCCACAGACACTTTGTCCCCCCACAAACAAACAAACAAACAAACTACTATCTCTAACTTACATTTCGCTGGGGGCAAACTCAGGGGCGTCCATTCTGTAGCCTTCCTTAATCTGCTTGTAAAACTTGGAGTCCACAGGCATTCCTGGGTATGGGCTGTTTCCTGTGGGACGGAGAGTATGGTTAGGCAGGGCCCAGAGAGACCCACACACACGCACACGCACACGCACACATACACTCAACAGTACAAGAAAACACTTAAAAACAAAAAAAACTAAAACAAAACACATTGTGTTTTTCTCTCTCGCCCCCCATTGTTCTCTCTAATTTACTCATCACCCAGGCAGTTCAGGTTTCATGTCATGAGTGCACTAATTACAAGGCGGCCTGTATGTGTGTGTGTGTGTGTGTGTGTGTGTGTACGTAATAGCGGTGCACGCATAGACACACGCATTCACACGCTCCAGGTGAGCCAACGCACCGAGAGAGAAGATCTCCCACAGCAGGATGCCGTAGGACCACACGTCGCTCTCGAAGGTGTACACACACTCGAAGATGCTCTCCAACGACATCCACTTCACCGGCAGACGAGCCTACGACAACAACAACAACAACAACAACAGTGTTTATCTCTCAAGCAAACAACTTTTATACGATAAGGGGCCTTTTCCATACTAGCGAGGACAGGGATAAGGATAGAGTGACAGATAGAGCTGATAAATAATGATACATGACAATAGATTGATCGCTAGATAATATAGATAATAATAGATTGCTAGGTAGATATTAGATAATAGATGATACAAATAGATGTATAGATAGATAATAGGATAATAGATGATAATAGATTGATAGCTATAATAGATAACTGATGATAATAATAGATTGATTGACCTTTGGTACAGATAAGCTGACACACACAGTTCCTACAGCATTAAAGCAACAACGTAAACAGTAGCAGACCGCTCTGCTGACAGGCTCGTCTATGAAAGGCGGAGTTGAGCCGCTCCAGAGCACATTCCTGATCCCTCGCCAGACCAGATATATAATCGCCAGGGGGTCTGATTCATTATCTTCAGGTCTGGAGGTGGTGCTAACCTAGCATGTATAAATATGTTCAACTGGTGCCATAACCATGCCTGGATAAACTATGGCATCACACACCGATACTGAGCCATATCCAGAGCCATACCAAACAGAAGAAATTAAATGAATATTGCCTTTTTTAACCTATTCAACAAAGTATCCCAAAACATGCTCGTAAATATGTCTTTTTGTTATCTAGCTGTAGCGCTGATCCTGATGGACAAACCGCAGCCTTACATTGCCTTTGACCACGTAGTTGGAGTCGGTGGTGATGTCCCGGGCCAGACCGAAGTCACAGATCTTGGCTACTCTCCCCTGGGTCAGCAGAATATTCCTGGCTGCTAGGTCCCTGTGAATACACTAAACGCAGACACAAACAGACACAAACAAACAGGATTCACTTCATAAATAACGACGACCTTGGGCAAACCCATTTTCACGATAAACAACTGATACAGTATCTGCAGCACAAAAGACGCCTGTGATACAGTTACAAACTGACCGCGGAGGCTGCAGACCGCCGCCACAGCCGATCCATTTTTCAGCGGCCTCGGATGTCATTACGAGTGCATGTAACACCATCTGTGGCTGCGTGGCAATAGGCTGATGAATGAGCGGCTGCACTCATGGCCGTTCAACAAAGCCCAGTCTGTGTTTAGCAAATGAGCTGATCGTGACGCATCGATTTCCCCCCCTGATCTTCAATGATTATCACGCTTAAACAATACCATCTTCCGAGTGAGTCTTTCCCAAATTTCCCGCCTGGGATCAATTAGGTATTATCTTATGTTATCTGTTCAGTTGCCAAGGCGTCCAACTTTATTGAACTTTACCAACTTGTGACGTGTGATTAAAATAAAATAAAAACGTCTCGCTCACGTTTTTGGAGGCGAGGAAGTCCATCCCCTTGGCGACCTGGTAGGAGAAGCTGAGCAGGTCTTCTGTGTCGAGGCTCAGACCGTCCTCCTGCAGCATCTGAGTGGTCACGTCGTCGTCACTGTTGGACCCGCCTGAGGGACGGCAGGACACCACATTAGATAACTTGAGGTGGTGTTAAGGTGTTCAGGGTGGTGTTGAGGGGTTTTCAATAGTAAAGAGTTGATCACCATAGACCTGATCTAGTGGGCAAGGAGTCTAGTGGGTAGGGAGTTTGGCTCCCAGCCAAAAGGTTCTGGGTTCGAACCCCAGATGTCCGTACCTGCTCCTTAATGACCTGTCTCTGTACTCACTGTCTAACCCCTACCTGCTCCTTAATGACCTGTCTCTGTACTCACTGTCTAACCCCTACCTACTCCTTAATGACCTGTCTCTGTACTCACTGTCTAACCCCTACCTGCTCCTTAATGACCTGTCTCTGTACTCACTGTCTAACCCCTACCTACTCCTTAATGACCTGTCTCTGTACTCACTGTCTAACCCCTACCTGCTCCTTAATGACCTGTCTCTGTACTCACTGTCTAACCCCTACCTGCTCCTTAATGACCTGTCTCTGTACTCACTGTCTAACCCCTACCTGCTCCTTAATGACCTGTCTCTGTATTCACTGTCTAACCCCTACCTGCTCCTTAATGACCTGTCTCTGTATTCACTGTCTAACCCCTACCTGCTCCTTAATGACCTGTCTCTGTATTCACTGTCTAACCAGCTCCTAAATGACCTGTCTCGGTATTCACTGTCTAACCCCTATCTGCTCCATAATGACCTGTCTCTGTATTCACTGTCTAACCCCTACCAGTTCCTCAATGACCTGTCTCTGTATTCACTGTCTAACCCCTACCAGTTCCTCAATGACCTGTCTCTGTATTCACTGTCTAACCCCTACCTGCTCCTTACAGTAAGGACCTGTCTCTGTATTCACTGTCTAACCCCTACCTGCTCCTTAATGACCTGTCTCTGTACTGTCTAACCCCTACCTGATCCTTAATGACCTGTCTCTGTATTCACTGTCTAACCCCTACCTGCTCCTTAATGACCTGTCTCTGTATTCACTGTCTAACCCCTACCTGCTCCTTAATGACCTGTCTCTGTATTCACTGTCTAACCCCTACCTGCTCCTTAATGACCTGTCTCTGTACTGTCTAACCCCTACCTGATCCTTAATGACCTGTCTCTGTATTCACTGTCTAACCCCTACCTGCTCCTTAATGACCTACAATTCACAGTCCAAGCATCTGCTAAATGATGTTGGTGATAAATGGGAAATTGCAACCACCAGTTTGCCCTGCCCTGCTGGGACACCGCTACACACATACAGTAATTATGACAGAGAGACAAGACATAATTATATATATATATATATATATATATATATATATATATATATATATATATATATATATGTCATATTATGTCTTGTATATACATATATATATGCCTCTGACATATAACTACTTTGCCTGTGAGTTTTTAAGTCGTGTGTATGGACTGAGTAACCTGCAAATGAATTACCCTTCAGGAATCAGTAAAGGTATCTGAATCTGAATCCAAATGATGAATAAATGGTTGTGTGTGTGTGTGTGTGTGTGTGAGAAGGGGTGGGTGGTGGCGCTTGCCTTTGCGTAGCGAGCGCCTCCTCTCGGACGAGGAGGTGCAGGGCGAGGGGCCAGCACCAGAAGGATTCATCACCATGTAGCCGTTCCTGCCGTCGCTGCGCAGAGAGAAGAGCAGCCGGGGGATGAGACACAAGCCTCAGACACTCCCACCATCCTTCTGCCCGCTGCTGCTCGTTCGCCTGCTGCGTCCATCGCTCCTTTCCCCCTTCCTCTGTCTATCTCCCTACCATACTCAATCTGTCCTTTCCTAACTCCTCTCTCTATCTCCTCCCTATCGTACTCGATCTCTCCTTCCCTCCCTCCTCTCCCTATCTCAATCTCTCCTTTCCTCCCTTCTCTCTATCTGCTCCCTATCGTACTCAAGCTCTCATTTCCTCCCTCCTCTCTCCCTCCTATACTCATTCCTCCTTTCCTCCATCCAGTTCTCATCTTTTTTTTCCTCCATTCTCTCTTTATATCTCTCTTTGTCCATCTCTTTCACATCAAATCACCTCCACCTCCTACTACACTGAATCTCTCTCCCCTCTCTTAATTGTTGGCTCCCTACTCATCTCATCTCACTCATCTCTCCTTTCCCTCTTTCTATCTCCCTCCCAAACTCAGTCTCTCTCTCCCATCTGTACACAATACATACACAATCTCCCCAATTGCGATCTCATTTCCTCCATCCTCTCTCTATCTCCCTCATCTTTGTCGCTATCCCCCCTTCCATACCCAAACTCTCATTTCCTTCTTTCTTTTCCCTTTCTCTTCGTCTCTATCCTCCCTTGTTTTTCTTTATTTTTTCTCCAAACCTCTCTCCCTCTTTCTTTTCCTCTCACCCATCCTCTCTTATGGTCTGTCTCTAGTTCCCTTCCTTTGTTTTCCTCTCTCTCTCTCTGTGTCTATCTCTCTCCCTCTCTCCCTCTCTCTCTCTCTCTCTCTCTAGTTAAGGGACATCCGGTCCATTCTGTCATTTAGAAAGAGGAGCACTGTTTGCTGTGTTTTTTTTTAACATGCCCTGCTATGTTCCCCTGCTAACGCAAGCTGTTAGCGCGTGAAAAACCTGGACTCCTGTTCTGCCGCTTCTCCCAACGGGTGCAACAAAACCCCCGTACGGATATCGTATATCGGCGCGATCTGGCACAACCAGGATGTCGTTAAGTATCACACTGTGCCACTATTGCAGCGGATCACTTTTGTTACGAGTCCGGTTTTCTTCCACTGATTCATTTAGAGAGGAAAAGATCTGTGGTTGGATCGGATTGAAGGAATTACGAGGTTCCCTCATGAATCCACTCTACACTGAATGAATGTGTTTTATGGGCTTGTGTGTCGTTCTGGACAGGGCAGTGACGAGAGACAGGACAGCGGGTTGAAGAAGGGAAGGAATAACATGTAGCATAGGACCACAGGTTGAAATCGAACCCGGGTCATTACAAGGCGTGTCGCCTACATTCTCGGTGTATTGTACCGTAAGTGAACGTTATATAAAGTCACATTAAGTCAGAGCAGTTCAAACCGATACCTGCCGAACCAATCTAAATAAACACACGGTAATACTACAAACCATAACTTCTTCTGCACATACTAAACTCTACCGACCTGCCAGGGTTACTGTGCCGAAGGATGTTTCTGTAGTAGCAGTCGTCCTCCATCTTGGAGCAGAAGAACGACTCCCTCTTCCTCCGCAGGAAGTTCAGCAGGTCCCCGAAGCAGCAGAACTCAGTAATCACCAGCGTCGGCCCTGCGGACCAACCACACGCCATTTTAGCCACCATGCCAAAGCACACAGCGTTTATTGGGCCCAAAGGTTCTGGGTTTAAACCCTGATGTCTGAAGTCTACATGTAGGCGTCCTTGAGCAAGATGCCCTAACCCCTGTCCGAAATAAAACTATTCAAATGACATTTAAAATATATATTCAATACTTTTAAAATATGCATGTCTTGTTCTGTGTCAGAATATTGTGTATTCCAAATTTGACCACCCTCATGGTGGGTGGATTATATGAAAAACCCATGTGTTCAAAATAGCTTTAATTGTTTAAAGCATTTTACAACTTTTCTGGTGCTATTATCTTAAAACTTAAAACTCAAAAACTTGTTCTGCAAATTGTCTTTGTGAATCTGGAAAAGTGCTGTACAAACAAAATATATTACCATTATCATTGAAAACTTAACTTTCAAACTTTGTATCTAAATATAAAAATCTGAAAATCTCACACCCTTAACAAATTGCTTCAACTTTATCGGCTTAATCCAACACCTAAATGTCTCCATTCAGTCAGCTGACTCCTCACCTCCAACGGTGCAGGCTCCCAAAAGGTTGACGATGTTCATGTGGTTTCCAAGGTAACTGAGAACTTTGAGCTCAGACATCAGTGCCTCTTTCTCTGTGGCGTGGGCACTCGCTGCAGGAGGGGTGAAAGGGTGAAAGACACCATGTGACAACATCAAGGGTCTGATTACAAATTTACGATTTACGCATGGTTCTAGACTACAGTCACTACAGGGTTGTTAAAATATTTCTGATCCAGCAGAAACATGCACCCTATCCATTAAAATGTCCATTAAAATGCCAGGTGTCTGCTTTTTACACTGCGGGCGAAGTTGTTCTGGCAAAGTTGTGATAAAGCATGCATTCCTGTGCTGTCGCAGCTCACACAGAAGACGTTTATTTAGCCAAACAGGATCTAGTCAAACAACCGCCATTTAAATGATGTTTTCTCTGCCCAGTCGTGTGTGTTTTTCTTCCACCTACGTTTGAGCATTTTCACAGCGACGGTCATGACCGAGTCGGCCTTGGACAGTCCGTACGCCGTGGCTTCCACCACCTTCCCGAATGCCCCCGATCCCAGCGTTTTCCCTGCAGACAAGAACAACACCCACAGACGGTTACTCTCCCGGTGGATAACCCCGGCTCCCCCCAAGTGGGCTGGCTTGATGCCAGGCCTGGGCGCTCCACAACTGGGAGGGCTGAGCCAAGCCTCTGTCCCCTGAGGGCTGTGCTCACTCCAGGACATGCCAGATCCTGTTTGAAGGTGGTTGGTTGGAAACACACCAACCACAAAATACCCTGTTTGCTTTTAGGGCGTGGGGCTTGATTAATTTAACCCAGGGAAGCCGGGTTCCCAATGCGTTACCGATGATGACCCGTACACGACACATCGTTTGACAGAGGCTTTCAATCAGTGAGGAAGACTAAAGACAGGGCATCGCTCTGACAGGCGCCATACTTTAAATACCTGCACACACTCCCTAGACAGATAGAGATAAAACGGTGACCAACGACCTGTTTTTTTCGTTTGCAGCTGCGATACAAAGATGTTCACTTGAAAGTGGCAGTTGTGGCAAAATCTGACAATACTTTTGAATAACGGACGAGATGGGGGTACCAACCGAATCGCAGCTTGTCTCTGGGAAACTCCCACTGGTGGTCATACGGCAGCTGGGTGGGGTCAATATACACATAGTTGTTCCCGTGGATGCCCTCGATGACCTTCCACTGGATCTGGTATTTGGGTTTCTGGCGTGAAAACACAGGACACAAGGACCAAGTAAATTCGAGGAGGGAACACAACAGAGAAAGTGACAACAACCACAACGACGAGGTGAACTCCACATGCGTCTCTCCTTGAACTGTCATTGCTTGTTGACAGACAG